GATAGATATATATACATATAATTATAAATATTAAAATTATATATATATTATATATATATATGTTGTTGTGTGTGTGTGTGTGTGTGTGTGTGTGTGTGTGTGTGTGTGTTGTGTGTGTGTGTGTGTGTGTGTGTGTGTGTGTGTGTGTGTGTGTGTGTTGTGTGTGTGTGTGTGTGTGTGGTGTGTGTGTGTCTGTGGGAAAAAAAATACGGTTTACACCTCATTTTTAATGACAGGATTAAATAAAACAACGTAATAATCATCTTTAAGTTAAAATGTGCTTTATCATCCGATACAAGTGACCCTCCATTGAGAATCTGCATGGCTGTGTTGGGCTCATCCTTTGTGATACATATCACCAAGGTCTATATAAGTACTTATATAGACCTTGCACATAACGAGACCATCGGCAAGACACAGCGCATTCCTGTTCTGATCTGGCGCTGACCGAGCCACGGCCAGGGTCAGTATTCCATGTAGTCCCCGAAGAGACGCCGCAGGCTACGGGGCAGCACTCTGAAGAGGGAATGGGGCAGCAACTTACTACAGATATGTATATATATACACAATTATGTTATATTATGTATGTATGCATATATACATATATATGTATATATGTGTATATGTATACATATATATGAATACACACACACACACAAAACACACACACACACACACACACACACACACACACACACACACACACACACACACACACACACACACACACACATATATATATATATATATATATATATATATATATATGTATGTATGTATGTATGTATACACATATACATATACATACACACACACACACACACACACACACACACACACACACACACACACACACACACACACCACACACACACACATATATATATATATTATATATATATATTATATGTATGTATGTATATATGTATACACATATACATACACACCACACACACACACAACACACACACACACACACACACAACACACACACACACACACACACACACACACACACACACACACACACACACACATATATATATATATATATATATTATATATATATATATATATATATATATATACATATATATATATATATATATATATATACATATACACACACCATTTGTACATATATATATGCATACACACACACACACACACACATATGTATATATATATAATATATTATATATATATATATATATATAAATATATATATATATATATATTTAATATATATATATATATATTATACATATACATATTTCATTATATATACATATATACATACATACATATACATATATATATACTACATATATAATATATATATATTATATTATTATATATATATATATATAAATATATATTATATATATATATTATATATATATATATATATATATATATATATATATATATATAATATATATATATAATGTATACATATACACACACATTTGTACATATATATGTATGCATACATACACACACACATATATATTATATAGTATATATATATATATATATAATATATATATATATATATATATATATATATATATATATACATACATATATATATATATATATATATATATATATATATATATATATATATATATATATATATATTATAATATATATATATATATATATATATATATAATATATATATATGCATCACGTGACGAAACAAAGTATACGATCTACAATGACCTAAAATCCGTCCCTGACCAAACGCGACTTACTTCGACATCATCATAAGAGGCTTGAGTTTCTCCGGAAGGAACAGCTCCTCCTGGTTCCTCCTGATGCCCCGGATGATCCTCCTGGCGGCCTCGGTGGGCGTCAGGACCTCGAACAGCGACGGGAACCTGTGGGGGGAGACGTCGCTGCCTGAACCGTGTGTATGTGTGTGTGTGTGTGTGTGTGTGTGTGTGTGTGTGTGTGTGTGTGTGTGTGTGTGTGTGTGTGTGTGTGTGTGTGTGTGTGTGTGTGTGTGTGTGTGTGTGTGTGTGTGTGTGTGTGTGTGTGTGTGTGCTCGTGCGCGCGTTTAACGTGGATTTGTTGCAAGTGAAAGAAGTCGTGTACGGAATTTGAAGCACATTCTAAATCTGGTGAAGCCAAGGTCTATAGCAGACCTAACAGATTCCATAAACCTTGAGTGCAACCATAACCATACAAATTCGTCTCTGGATGCGTTCACTAGAGCATTTTAATCTTATTTTTCCCTCGCATTAATATTCATACTTATATTTTCCAATGAAGTATATAGCTAAACGTATAGCAACAATTATCTAAAAGCTTTATTTTTTAAATGTACCATTTGTGGAATTGCTTTAATATATATTCACCCTAATTATCTTTCTTGAAAACTACTTCCTAAATACATCAAATTTCCTAAACCCTTCTTCTCTAGCATCAAATTGAAGCTTTAAAAGGACGGCAAACACGAATCCGAGCTTGAGCAGAGTGACACCACGCTACC